TTTAAACTCTCTACATGAAAGGTTTTTCTATCATTAAGAAAACATCTTCCTATTATCATGAAAAAGTCAGTTCTAAAGGGAAATAATCAAGATGAAACTAAACAAAAAATATTTAGACAGAAGTGAATTTATTTTTTCTAATACTCTAGTCTGGTTAAAGCGTCTGGAAGGTAAAAAGTTCCTTTACATGGTACAGCTCATTATATGAAACAATATTAACTAGATTGGACAATAGAAAACTTGAACCAAACACCATTTTAGCAGCAGAAAAGGAATTACTTCCCTCCTCCAGTACTATACCTAAACATAATAAAATATTCAGATTTATTCAATTTCATCCACAATGGCTATTGACATAGACATTTACATTTCAAACCAAGAAAACCTTTCTGAACATATACATAATTTACACCTCTATTAGAAATCTATGTAAATACAGGGAAGGACATGGAAGCAGAAAGTTTGAGTCATCAAGAACAAAGGAATTGTTCCCAGGAAGATCACAGCTGGAAAATAGGTTCATTATTACATTATCTTTTGCTAACAAACTCTTTTCTCTACATTTAACAGTAATATTATTTTTATAACATCAAAACATATGAGTAGGTTGAATTACTCACTGTCTGAATCTGCATTTATGTATTAAAATTATTCAATTTGGAAGAGTGAAAAAATATGTAACAGTGGACAAAGCAGCATTTTGTCAAAAGGAAAAAGTGGTTAGAAGATACAAAAAAATACCTCCTGCAAATCAAATCCACCATTAAATGAAACTTTTCACATTGGAGAAGCAGCATCTTAATTAATTTAATAGTGTTGGCAATAAAGTATTGCCAATTATATTAACAGCATCATTCTAACACAGTTAGAAATTCCTGAGATAGAAGTTCACAGCAGAAACTTTGGAGTCTCAAAGATATTTTCTTTTGTTCTCAACATAAATATAAAAATAACACCAGCAATCAAATCTAACACTAAAAGTGATAACAGGTAAAAACTGAAAGCTCATGGGGAAGCAATAGTCTTCTGTTATAAGGCATTGAACAAGCAATTAAAATAATATTTTTTTTTCTTATTTACAACTACTGATATATGACTCTAGGAGATTCACTATTAATGCTGACAGTATTAAAAAATGAGAAAAACATAGAAGTTGGAAGAAGAGAATCGATGCTGACATTAATGCAAGATTTTAGTTTTTTTTAAATTAAGAAATAATGATAGTAACATCTATGCAGAAGTTTATCTTTGGCTCTGCTTCATAAAGAAAAAAGATCTTTCTGTCAATAACACCACCTTTAAATGTAGAGATGTTTTATGCCTTTTACTCCATCAGTAGAAACAAATACTGATAAATAGCATGGAACAATACTTGGCATAGTCATTTTTAATGATCAACTCATTCATCAATAGCTTTAAATCACTCCTTTCCTGGGGAGACAGGAGCAGTGAGTTCTGTTGGGCTCAGCAGTAACAGCAGATCTGGAGTCTGATGGTCACACCATCAGTTAAAAGACAACAGCAATGAATTTATGTTTCATAATAACTTTTTTTTTCTTTGTGACATGTCCATTATATAAAAAATCATTAACAGCCTTGTTTACAGAGAATAAATCCCAGCCTTGAACAAACCCAATTTACCAATGACACTCTGCCAACAAATGCTGATTCACCAACTGAGCAAGCGAATTAACCATCATTTTCTGTACAAAATAACAGTAGACAAAAATATAACTTGGCAGTACTTCCCTCTTGTTAATGTGGACACTAATTAGATATATAAAAAATATTTGAATTAAATATGTCAAGGTCTCAGAACTGTTTGAGTTCCTCTTTGCTTAATTAATCCAAATATTTAAATTTGCTTCTTTGTGTAATTTGGTGTTTCAACCAGAATCCCACAGACAGGCATATAAAATTATTATTTGCTGCTTACGTAGCTCCCTTTTGAAACCTGCAACTAATATGAAGATATAATCCCTTTATACAAAACATTCCTTAAGAAACATGGTCTCTGTTAATTAGCCAAGCACTTATTCTATTCTCTGATTGCCAGACCTCACACAGCAGACAAATTATTAAGTTTCCTGATTCTTCTTTTCATTGTTGAGTTTAGAATATCCATACAAACAACATTTCAGCTAAAACTTCTTTCCTAATTTTCCCAGAAATTAAGGGAAAAAAGATATTGTGGAGCTGCTGTGATTAGCAACTGCCCAGAATTTTATTTTAGGAAAAAAACAAAAACAAGACAGAAAGCAAACATTGCTGTGTGCATTGGCCCATCTTAGTTTGCTATTTCCCCACAATTCTATTTAAATTATGCTCCTTGCAGCATGCACAGAGTGCTCTGCACTTAGTGTGATTATTACTTGAGTTCTCTTTCACAGGACAAACTACAGCTTTTCATTTTTATCCCTACAATCCTAACACTTACAATCTGTAGGCTTTTCTAACATAAATGAATTTTCCCTAGGAATACATTCTCCCTCTCTTTCACACACAACTTTAGCACTACAGTGGGCACTGAACAAAACCCCAAAAATTGTAAGATTTTAGTGTCCCTTACCTCCAAACAATGTTTCAACACTGTTTAGCAGTAGAAGGAAAAATAATGCATGACAGTTTCTTTTGTTGAGGCTAAAAATGGATTTATGAGTTCTACCATTGAATCCAAAGGCACAGTTCAAGAACTTCCATGTATTCACAAATTATGGAAAACTTTTGTCTAACTAAACAAGACAGGCTAATCTATCTTTTCATTTTAAAATGGACTGATATCATTAATTCTAGATTCCTGTTTTACCTTTTCTGTTCTAACCTATATTCAGAGCTCACACAAATTAAAATGTTCCTTTTTTTGTTGGAATTTTTAAGCTCTTCTTTGCAACTTGCACCTGGTAGCAAGAATCTCATGTGAACAGATTCACAATTTCTTCAAGATGAGATAAGCTCCAAAATGTCACATCTCACCCCATTTGCAGTGTCATAACTTACAAGTAATCTGTAATTACATTGTCTTCCTGGCAAGTACTGGCAGTAACATCAATATTCTTTATAAGCAGATCAGTCTTCCAGAGAAAATCTTCTGGACACATGGTAAACTGCGAGCACCCATGGGAACAAATGAGGATCTGTGCTGGGCTGCTCCATCACTGTCAGTAATTTGGTATGAATTCAGAAATCTAGCCAGCATTTGGAAGCAATAATTCCTATAAATCTTTTTAATGTCACAAACTGCATGACAGTTATTTTAATTACAAATAACAATATCTGACAGGAAGGAAAGCCATACAGTTAAAATGCTCACAGGAATTTTATCCTTTACTTTTTAAATGGGCCTTTAGGATAAACATGCAGAAGGGATGCACTCTCAAAATTAAAGAACCAGAAGTGAGATGGAAGGTGTTTACTGGGACTAAAAAAAATTTAAAAATTAGACATTCTAGTCACGTTTTATTAATTAACAGGTGCCAGGAAACGCTGCTAAGAGGGGCTCCTTCCATACTGCTGAACAGAACACAACTGCTATTACAAGAATTACAAAATATTATTTAACATCACAGAAATAAAGCAGAAGTTTGCTTCCTTTTCAAAACAGAGGGCGTGAACGTAACACTCATACTAATATGGCATTTATTAGGATGAAAGAATTGAGTCTTAAAGTGATAAACAGATAATAAAGAGACTGCTGCAAAGCTCCAGACAATTTAGTTTTCAGATCACTGCCATAGATTGTGTTGTAGAGTCAAATAAATAAAATGAGAAAAACCAAATAGCTCAAGGATAATAATAAACTTACTCCCTTAAATGGCAAATACTTGTTTTAATGGAGGTAGAACTGCCAACACCACCAGGTGAGCACAAGGCTAGCAACTTTTCAGGCTAGTATTTCTTGAAAGTACAATAGCTAAAACTGATAGCAAAATTTGAGCTGACATATCCATAATACCTGCAGATTCACATATACAACATTATAAATTATTTTCCACAAATGGAAGCTTTTTTCTCTGACACTATGTTGCATCACATTTTTCATAATACTTACAGAGCATAAATCAGATTCTTTCCATGAGGAAACTACCACTTAAACACTGAACAGGAGAAATGGTTAAGACATTGTTAAGAAGCAATTTACTGATATTATTTTATTAACTTAGTTGAATAATTGCCAAGCCAGATCAGTCTTAAACTGCATTTAATCCAAGATGCAGCTCTGAGGAGTGTTTTTAACCAAATACTTCAGAAGCAAGTCAAAGAAACATCCGAATAAGTATTCATTTGGCAAACATACAGAAAAAAACTTCTAAAAAGCATAATTTATTAAAGTGAAATCGAACTCCATTTTATGCATACCAATTCAAAGTGGTTGAATTTAGAATGTGCTTTACACTATTCTCCATTCATGTAAAATATTGATAAATTCAGAAAGCTCAGGAACAGCAGTGGGGTCATTAGTTGAAGGCCTACGTGCCCTTATACCAGAGCACCCGTGGAATATTCTGGGTCCAGATGAGCTGCACAGGCATGGCTGAGCACTGAACCTGACATACTCACTTCAGACAGTATTTATTATGGTAGGAGTAACACTCTCCCTCTGTGTCATGTTACATCTGGTAAATATACAGGTTTAAATGCAAATTGAGAAACAGTCTGGAAAGGCTTGATTAGGATGAGAAAAATGTGCTCTGTACTGAAGAACAACAAATATGTTACTTTAAAGCTGCCAAAAGGTAAAAAAAGCTGTAGGGCATGCAAGTATTGTCAGACTTTGTCTAACTAACAGATGAAACAAGTTATCCCTTCCAACCTCTTAATGTATTGTTTTTTGAAATTTTAACCTGCTCACTGTAAAAAAGCAAAAAACAGTTCATGTGTGTTTGTGGGGTTAAAATTCTTCAACAATATAACCACTGCTTGCTGTGTAATGTCAACTGATCTTAAGCATGCTAACCATGTAACCTCATAAACCACAAGTGAAACCAAATACTATTCCTAACCTCTGCTGCCAGCTGCTGAAGAGAAGGGGATGCCACGGGCCGCAAAGTTGAGTTGCCTGTGACTGGATTATGGAGGCTGATGTAAGCCACAGCATTTCTCTGAAGAACACTCCTGAGATCCTACAACACAAGCAGAAAGATAGTTACTATTCTGCATCATTAGAATTATGCCTGGTCTTGTTCTTTTGGTTGCTTCTAGGGGAAAACTGCACCCTACATTTCCATCCTCTGTGATTCCCCAAGTATTAGTTAACTACTGCTTCTCACAATATGCTCTTGTGAACTTCAAAGGATATCTCAGTGCTATTTCTCTACATAGCAGAACTTATAATTCTATTTCACACATCATCTAAAGAAAATGCAAACAGGTCTGGGAGGAATTAAAAATTAGTACACTTGTAAGGCCAAAAATGAAAACATTACACACTGTGAAACAACATGATGGCCTTTTAAACTTATGCCTTACAGAAGACAAACTTCAAAAGCAATCATTATCAAAAGTTAAACAGACTCAAATATTAAGAGGCCCAATTCAGATTTGAATTGCATAACTTTCCCAGTGTTTTCATTTTATTATTTTTTAGACTATAAAAATAGCATGTACAAACCGTTTCAATTATTATCTCTGTTTTGAAAGGATCCCCTTTGCCTTCTCAGTAATGAGTTCCTCTTTGCATGAAGTGGCTCTTTATATTGAACAGAAGGGGTGTAACGCAATTACATCTGATGCAAAGCTGACTTGAAGTGGAACTAAACAAATTTTGCTTCCAGCCTGGATCTTTTCAATTTGATTTTTTCACCCCCTCTTGTTTCTGAAGAATAATCATGTTGGAAGTATGAAATTTCAATGAGGGTTGGCTGCTTCTTATGCACGGTAAAAAGCAATTAACTCTTTATTTTATCCACTGTTTTAATTCATTGAACCATTAGAGTTGGAAAAGCAGCCATGAAATTCTCTGCCTAGAGGAGTAGCAACTCCTTTATTTTATGACCTGAAGTCTACTTTAGCCATGTATGATCATCAATACTTTTTGAGGTACTTTCTTTCAACCAGCTGATTCCCATTCTGCTGAAAGTAAGAGCCCAAAGAATCGTCTGTTTGGGATTGTGTCCAATTCCTCAGCACAAATCTGTGAGAAGTGAATCAGCACTAGCCATGGAGACACTGCAAGGTTAATTTAATTCATGCAAACTATAGCATGGCTCTCTTCTTTCTCTCTTGATTCACTTCACCTCAAACTAAGCCTTATCGATGAAAAATTATTAAATATTAAACCCCCAAGAAAATGAAAAAGCTCTCTTAAGCTCTTTCTGTGCCTACATCATTTTTTGAGGTTTTCCTCCCCCCGTCAAACCCTGGCAATGCCCTTTTACAAAGCTGTGCTGAACCAGGGAGGGAAAGCAGCTCCCAAAGGTGCTGCATATGCAACCTCCACAGCCATGGCAACATCCTGGCCCCTCATTATCCCAGGAATGGCCTCAATGGATGTTTTCCCTGGATTTGCTGTGCAGTGCATGAATGAACACAGGCAATCTCAGAGAGCAGTTAAATGAGCCACAATTCCCATGTGGCAATTTCATATTGTTTCCAAGTTTCGGGGTCTGGGTGTCGAGATGACCCCAGGATTGTAAAAGTCCTCATTTCCCAGCCCATGCAGCCATAGGAGTCTGAAATGTGTAGGGTTGACTTCTCAAGGTTATTTTCCCTTATCTAGAACATTCTTTCTCTGACCTGCTGAGCTCTGTCTGGCAGGTCAGCCATGGCATTCTGTCTGCTCTCCTGGGCAGCGTTTACATTTTATACCAAAAGCTATGTGTACCATGTTTACAATAATGTGCCAATATCTATCATTTATATTGGACAGTGTGTCTCTACTGTAAACCAATAGAAAAGGGTCACCATCACACCAAGACATGGAGGGCAAGAAGAAGAAGGCCAGGACACACCCAAATCCCTCCCTCATGTCCCCTTGAACCCCATTCTAAAAAGTCCCAAAATTCTACTTTTCCACCCTGTGTTAATTCAACTACCACACTACTCAAACCCTCGTGGCTTGTAATCCCTGATACAAAGTTGGCAGTTTTTTCCACGGGCTAAAATCAAAGCCACAGGTGTTTTTGACTTCTTGCCAAGGTCTCTGAGCCCCCTGCCAGGGTCTGGAGGCAGCCAGGGCAGGCAGAGGGATGTGCTGGGTTCCCACATCCAAGCTTTCAGCAGCAGGAACCCTCCCAGAGCAGTTTTACCTCAGCCCACTCGTAGGAGCCGACGTTCCCCAGGGCTGTTCCTCCCCACGAGCAGAAGAGCAGGGTCCTGTCAGGCCTCCAGCCCCTCCTCAGCTCTGGCACCAGGGCTTGGAGCAGGGCTGTGATCACAGCAGTGCTGCTGGCCCAGCCTTGCCCACCATAACCCTTCAAACTGCTGTGGTGGCTGCCAATGATGACGTATCTGTCTGAAAGGAGGAATTAAAAAAAAATCCCAAAAACCAAACTTTTTTTCCCTGAATATTCAGATTAAAAGAATTCTGAACAACCCTAAAAATGAACTCTATTAGTGTGCAATGTCCTTAATGCAACACAAAGCTGTCAACAAAAAAGTATATGATGACATGCAAGAAAATCATACAATTATACACAAAACTGTGAGTACTACTTAAAAATTAACTAGTAAATAAATACATGTTTACAGTTTTCTAAATTAATCCCCATACCCTTGCCTTCCTTGTTTGCTTATTGCTCTCCTTGTAGATCTGATATAGACCATTTTACAGTCAGGACTAGATCATACAAACAATCATGCTCACAGTAGAGTGTTATGAGAAAAACCCACAAAATAATAAGCAGGAAATGATCATCAAAACACATCAGCACCCCCCAAAAAAAAGAAACAACAACAACCAAAAAAAAAAAAAAAAAAAAAAAAAAACAACCAAAAAAAAAAAAAAAAAGAAAAGAAAACAAATGTGTGGCAGTGCAGTGGGAAACAAAGAAAATACACAAATATTTGTACTCCCTCACCTGGAAGACTGTGTTCAGTGCTCACCACCCTATCTCAAAAAAGACATGGCAGAAAGAGTAGTGGAGCAGCTGGCAAGCAGATTAGAGATGATCAGGACTTAGCCTTATGTGGAAGGAGACATGAAAATACCTGGACTGCAGGTTTGGAGAGGAGACATGACAGAGGGATAGAGATAATGAATGATACAGATTTGGAAAGTCACACCTAACAGCTGTGTTAATGCTGGAAGAAAGCCTTTTATAGAAAGAAAAGCAAGAAGTTTCAACCTGAAATAAAGAATATGCTTACAATTACTCATGGGAAAAAAAACCAAAAAACACACTTTTTTTCCCCAGAGAAATAAAATTAAATCTTCATCTCTCCAGGCATTATATATAACCATAATACCACCCACAAGGGAAAAAAAACCCTTCAGAACTGATGATGTGTTATGAAATTGCATGACTAACTGGTGTGACTGAGGCCTGTGAAGAAGTCCAAGCAGAGTTATTCTGAATGAGCTATTAAACTATTAGACCTTCTGTGTGAGATGAATTCACAACCCTCTTTGAAGGATTGTTTGCTGGTTTTGCTCTGATATTTTGTAAAGTCTCCTTCTGGCCCAGATCTAGACTTTTAAAGGTGTTCTTTCCCTATTTCAGGATACCAACAGACAATAGAAAAACAGTTTTCAACAGTGAGGAACAGTGATGCCACACCCACAGCAACCCCTGAGTGTCATCTGGGCTCCAAAACGTGGAAAAATTTTCTTTTTCTTTCTTTCACCAAGTGAAATCATTCACTTGCTGTCAGTTGATCACAATGGAGCAACAGATTGCTGCACATTGCCCTCACTTTTTATTTGCTTATAAAATTAAATACCTACCCAGTATATCTTGCAGTGGCTGCTGCCTAGGAACAATGTTAATGGAACACTTTGATTATAAAAGCATTCTCTATCAAACTGGAGTTTCACCAGCCTTGTTCAACAAAATATTTGAACATGTTGTTTAATAAGGAATCCAAAATGCTTTACAAAGAGATGATTTTTTTTTTTTTAATGTACCTGTAATACAATCTTTTCAATCAACTTTGGGGGTGTGTAGGTATGGAAATGAGAATTTCTTTCTAAAGACAGATATGCAAAGTGTCAACCTAGATTTACATAATAATTTAATGTAACAAGATGAAATCTAAATCATATAATTTTGCAACTTGTGTATTGCACCATGATATGCTTAATTATAGGTTGAACTGACAATGAAAAAAATGTAGGATTTTCAACTCATTAAATGACAGGAATTAGGAACCAAAATGAATGCCCTTACATGCCTCTAGGTCATTAATGGAAGTGCCACTAACACAGGGGGATCAGGCAGGATCAATGTATAATAATTTCTGTTTAGCCTGTGAACAGACCATGTGAGAGGAGAGACACCTTATTAAAATAATGCAGGATATTTTGATTGAGAAGGAGGCATCGACTTATTGCTGGAGATGCCAGCTGAATGAGCAGTGGCAAAACATAACAGCTGGTGCCTCCTTTGAAATTCTTCATCTTTGCACATCTCTCCCTCAAATAGAGGCAGTACCCTAAAGCAAATGACTACAGGAAAAGCAGAGGAGAAAGGATGGTCACGCTTGCAGAGGCAGCAGCTGTCCTTTCTCAGAATCACATGGCAAAAATGAAAAAAAGAGAAAGGGCTGGAAATAGAGAAAAAAAATATCCATCAGATACCCTTGAAGGTGATAAGACAGGAGAGTGTTCAAGTTAGTGATGGGCTGGACAACAGGGATCCATCATTAAAAAGTCTCTTTATCCTGTCTTTTCTTGTTATACATCCCATCTTCAACCATGTCTAATAGAGCTTTAAAATCAATGTTACGTTTTTTGGGTTTTAAAATGCTACCAAGTATCACATTTCATCTACACCTAATGATTTCAACATCTTGGTTACACTTCAGATGCTTGTTCTTACTCCTCAGATCAAATGCCAGCTAAGGTTAGCATTACAGAGATGTGCTTGTCTGTGTGTGCGTGTTTGGTGGTCTTTAACAAAAAAGAAATAAATTCCACCCATGGTGATGCTCTGCAGGCTTTCATTAAGCACTAAAGATAATTTTTGCCTTCTTTCTGCACTTCTGTGAACATAAAGGTGAATATTTCATGCGTATGAAATGAGCAAAACCCCATCAAAATGACAAAGAATCAATGCCATGAAAATATCAAGATTCAAAACAGTTGAGGAGGAACGACTGTAGTGTCAACCAAGTAGAGCAGAGAAAGAAAAAAAGGTTTAATATTGATTGTCTACAAAATATTACAGTGCAGTAGACATTTCACTTGTGCCTATAGTAGAAGACAGTTGTTATGGATCTTGTTTATCCAGACATCCATGGGACAAACTGGGTACTGCTACTGACTTCAGTTATTTATATATCCTTAGATACCTAAAGTTCAGCAAATATTGGCAAACCTCCAAAAAGTAGATTCTGATTAAAAATGCAATAATAAGATGAAAGGTTCAGGTAGAGAGGAGATAGAAGACTTGTTAAACAGCAACTGAAGCACTTCTTGCTCTTTTTCTTGCCTCTGTTGCACAATTCGGAAGACAGAATGTCTAAACATGGCAGTTTCTGCCTTTCCAACTCCATGACAGCTATTTGCAAAACATTAATAATAGCAGACTGGTAACTTCAAATTCATGAAGGAAATTAAATCCTTCATAGAAATTAAATTCACTGTGCTAATTGTTTCCTCTGTTGCTTTAAACAAACCAAAAGTCTGGTGAGAAGTACACAGTTCTGCATGCACAGAACTGAGTCGTTATTTCACCTACAGGAATAAAATTTTTTCCACCTCCTTCATTCTATTACTTAAAATATGAAATGACTGGCCCACCTCCTAAGGGACTGTAAATAAATTTCCATCCTTTCTTCACAACCTTATAAAAGAATATTAAAGCAAGCATGATGATGTTTTGATGATGATCTGCACACTAGGAATTGTTTACACTATAAAAGCAACCAGCAACAGCATTCATTCATGTGGTAGAAACCCTTCACCTTTTAAGTAAATTCACTAACTAACAAAATAATCTGCAAATTATCTTATATCGTGATGATACCATTATTTATGCACAGAATCAAAGGACAGAGGGAGGTTGTGTTTATGTCCCAGTTGCGTTTAGAGTTCTATTGTTCAATCATCAGACATAGAGAACAGTAATTATTATTCATAAAATTGCATAAAACTAGCTTAGGGCATTATTGACACACACAATAAGGCTGCAGCAAGTGTTAAAACCATATTAAAATTAAAACCATTAAACAGTTACTTGGTACAAACTACTGATACTCCCTGTGGTCCATGTGCAACACCTGCTGCTTGTGTAAAAATATGCTTTTTGTAACTACAATATCCCCTTCAGATCATTCTCTGTTTAACCTCACATATTCTGTCTCGTCTTGAATCAGAAAATGAGTGCAAAAAAGTCTTTTTCTTTCCTCTCTATTAGTGAATTATCTGGCAAAATAGGATCCTTATCCCAGCTATGACTCCCACCTACTATGAAAAAAAAAATCAATACAAATGACAAAGGGATACTTACCAGGAAACACAGCTCCTTTTAGATATCCAATGACATTAGAAATTGTCCTGTAAGTTGTGACAGACTGAATGTTCAGGCTGATTGTTTTTTTGCCTGTTAGAAGATGAAAAAAAAAAAAAAAAGAAAATGTTGAACTTATTTACCCAGCCAAGAAACATATGGGCTGAAGACATAAATTCCACATACATTAAAAAAAAAAAGAATTTAAAATGATGTTAAAAAAAACCCAACATGAACAGGAACCACAGATTAAACACAAAATAGGACATTATTTTCTTGGACCTATCTTAGCAGCATGACTCAAAGATGGTATCTCAAAAGAGATCTCTACTCCTTCAGTTAAAAGATCATTGAATTCACACAAAAATATGCTGCCAGAATACAACAGAAAAAGAAAATTCATGAGTAGGATTTACATAACTCTGTGATAACAAAACTTTCCTTAAACTTCATAGGTTTTTCTCACCTAATCCTTCACCTAGGTCAATCTATCAATAACATTCACAAAATTATGTCTGGTTGATATTACATTTTCTTCTGGAGAAAAGCCCCTGTGCTAAATCAGATGGGAGCAGTCAGACCTCCCCACAGCTTTGCCAGCACAGCCTTTGGTGATGCTCTTGTGAACCCTGGCCAACAGAGCCAGGGCTTTTGGCTTAGCTGGCATCAGTTGAGGAAATGGTGTAAATACAAAGGCAGAATTATTTGAAAAGCTGCTAAAATGTAAGGAACTTGCCAGTACTGCCATTTGAGACTGTAGCATAGAATAAAGCCAGAGTAGAGCAAATATCTGAGTTAAAAGAAGGTGGGACACAGTAACCACACAAATTCCTGCAGTTTGGGACAGTGGAAACCAACCAACCAAGCACGGGGAGCTGCTGACACCTTCCAAATGTTTCACTGGCATGAAACCAGACTGTGTGAACATCCAGCTCATCTGAAAGGTCATAACTTCTATCCAAGAGAAACGAAAATGTCTTCAACTGCTTGAACTCCAAAAGCAGCAGCAGTGTGGCAATCAGCAGTGGCCAACCCCAGGGGGATTGTCCTCCATCCCTGAATGCTCCACCCTTGTGCTTGAAGCATCCCTGGGACAGAATTCCTCCCATGGAGTATCCCAGCTGCCACAGACCACAATTAAAATCCTCCACAGGTCATTTTGCTCTCTATGTGCCAGTGTTTGTTTAAAAATGAATTAACAATATTTATCCTATTTTTAATTCAGACAAAACCTCTTCAGTTATCAACACGTGTGTCTTCTCTATGACAATTCTGGTTTTGCTTGAACAAACCAGTAAGAAACATGCAAACCAAGCAGTTAATTAAAAATAAACCCTGGCACATGACTTTGCAACAATCAGTCCCAGCATGTTAATATTTTGATTTGTCATGTAATTAACTTTGCTCTTCTGATGTAAGTTACTGTATTTTTAAATTATTGTTAATGTCATGTAAATGAACTGTTTGTTCAATAAATCCACAGATATTATTTTAGAATTTTAAAAAAATCATTAAAAAATAGTCCAAAGGATTCCCAAAGGGTCTTTTTAAAACAAGTGAAAACAGCTCAAAACATCTATGTTGATTAAGCAGCTTAAATTTAACTTTAAACTATGTAAGTTACTTCTTGCTGCTGTTTCTCACCTACAACCATTCTAGAGCTAATTTACTCCTTTTTTTTTTTTTTTTTTTAAGAGACATTTTAAAGTCAAAACCGTTTTCTTTTCCTTTTCCTACAACACTTTAGATGTTTGTTCCTTTAGGCCCCTTCTCAGACAAAAAGAAGATAAATCCTTTTGAAGACAACTGACTTCACTGTTTTTCCTTAATCAACATCAGCTATCCAGCCTCTAACTGACAATAAAGACACAGAAAATTAACTTCTGGCAATACCCATACTCTCAAATCAGATACTCGAGTTAATAGTCATGTAACAGAGTAGTCAGCTTGAAGTGACTTGGGCTTAAAGGCTTAGAACACCAGATGAAAAGGCTGAAACTGCTCTTTGGAGTATACAGCAGAAGCAAAATTTAATCCCCTCTAAACAGTTCTGACAGCAAACCTCTTGTCCTAACGCTGTATTTTCAGAATCTTGACAACTTTCTCCTTTTTTTTTTTTTTTTTTTTTTTTTTTTTTTTTTTTTTTTTTTTTTTTTTTTTTTTTTTTTTTTTTTTTTTTTCCGCCATATCTCCTCTGCAAAGCTATGAGGAGACTTTACCTTAACAATATTCAGGATACACTGTCTTTATGTAAGCTAAAAGCTACTTCAGGGATAAAAGAGCACAAACATCTTTACTGGGTTTTTAAAATTTATTTCTTGCCTGACCTGGAACTTTTACATTGTCTCATGCCAAATGATTACCTTCTCCTCTAACATTTACATAGTTATTTTTGGAAATTAATGCCTATTTTTTCCTCTCATTTGATGGAAAATTTTAACATTTTGGTTCTGAAAAACCTATTTACAGTAGTTATGTTGAGAGAACATGAGTTAGGCTTGTTTCCTTTTTTTCTTTGTTGTTGTTTCTTTCTTGTTTTTTAGCTTTTAATGTCATCCCAAGCTCATGCATAGAGGAGTATAAGCCCGAGTCTCATTTTCAAACATGTTGGTTAAATTCCCTATCATCAGACAGTTTTCTGAGCATTTGAGTATTGGATTTTAAAAAGCATCTTTAGGAACTCAGGTTTGAAAATAAAACTCATTTGACAAGATTTTTACTAATAGTTAAAAAAACTTATCTACATGCAAATTTAACTGAAGTATAGAAAAATCAAGTATTAACTGAATTCAAGGATTTCAACAGAATAATTCCTGGATCATAAAACCCACAGCTATTTTAATAGACCGCTGAAATAAAGTACATTAAATAACTTCAAGTAATGCAGTTTTTGAGATGTTTCCTGTTGAAATCAACACCTGAATAAATGTGAACCTGTCTGAAATCCCAAATGAACTAGAGATTTCAAACATCATCAAACATCCATGCTCACATGACTTAGGAGACACTAACTGAGATGAAGTAATCAGCACAAACTGCACTTGACAGATCATCAAGTCAACTGGAGTGCAAAACCTTATTTACTAGGTATTTTATGTCACTTTTCAAGTTCAAACACAGAACTTTAAGTGAAGAAATATAATTATCACATGCATTTATTATTACGGCAGTACTTACAAAAAATACTACATGCAACATGGTATATATAGAAAAGTGAATAAATATAAAATAGTATATACTTAATAATGTATATTTGTACAGGAATGCGTCAGAACTCCTAGCCAGGTGTCCTTGTGGTTTTTTTTTTTAGATGGTGTATCAACAATACACCATCTAAATCTGGTATCTCAAATATTTTTCATTAAAAGATTTCTATTTGATTAATCAACTATGTTGCCTACTGACAACATATTCTCCTTTTTGAACAAATATTCATAGATCTTGAGTCTCCAAGTCTAATCTTAGTATGAAGAGCTTAATTAATAAACTCCTTGGTATTTGATAATCATCTTTTTTGACCTACAATAAGGAATCCAGAAATAAAATTCTTCAGATGAAGAGTTTTTGAAATAAGACATGCCTAGAATAAAGTTCTTTAAGGAGGCTCTAAACTAGGGTGGCCTAATGTGATAAAGAATAAATGTGTCACAGTCAACATCAAAGAGAGTTGAAAATGCTTCAGATGGTAGAGTTGAATTTCATAACCTCACACTACTTTAATTCTTTTCCTGTTTTATAATAATCAAAAGCAAAGCATCACACAGGAAAACACTGGTGCAGAACAGAATTCTGAAAATATATCTTGATCATTTACAATTCTGGTAGAAAAATTCTCAAGGCTTCAGTTGGGAGTAGAGGGAAGATACATTAAAAAATGCTTCACACTGTTCATGCTTAATTCTTCTCATGAACTTCTGTTTAAAAAAGGGACAGAATTTAAAGTGATAATGAAAAGAAAATCTGAGAGTATTGGTATAAAAGCCTGTAAGTTTTCATATGCAGGATGTCTGAATTAGATCAGAGCTCCCTATTTAACTTGTTCTTCATTCAAATGCCAGTAGAGACATCTGTAGAACTTTGTTATATTTCTGCTGTTATGTACAATGACTCCAGATTTGGTAGATACAGTAACATGTACTGCCACACAATCTGCTGGCATCTTTATTTGTTTCCTTGGATTCATGCTTAGCATAGTCCCAATACCCAGAAATTATGGTATTGTTTGCATATTGATATTACAGTGTGAGATGTCCCAGCCACAGTTTATTAAATATGGGAGTCTTTATTTTCTCTGACAGGTAGCAAACTATGAAGGAGAAACACATATAATATTATCACAAGGCTGTAGTTTAACAGGAGGAGATATTCACTTTATCACTCCATGCCCTTCCTCTGACTGAAAAGAAGACAGGCTTGATTTGCAGTAGTGCAGCACTTGGCAGAGAATTTTATTTATCTTGGATGAGCATCATATAATATGGAAAGTAACAGACTCTTCCAATTATTCCTTTCGTATAATTAATGATTCTAATTTCACATGATCAGAGTTGACTATAAACTTAGTATAATGAACATATGACACATGGAACTAGATAAAATAGATGTTCAAAGTCTCATAAAAATTCATTGAGTTGTGCTACAAACCTTTCCAGTAACAGTCAGTTCTGGTTATCTGTTCCACTCACCCATTTTGTCAGAGGAGGTAGATTTGTTTGCAGCCTACAACAGAGCTCTGCACTGCAGTCACTGTGATGATTCACTATTGATCAATGACTGTATTTTGTAGACTAAAAAAGGGTTACAAAAGATCAAAAGATTCTACCTAGAAAAGCATTTTGATCTGAGTAATTTTACTGTCTGCAGCAGAATGCTGGGAGTCTTTGTACACTTGGCTCTATTATTCACACAGTGTTTGATATCATTCAAGTTATTTAAACTACTCGTGCCTTGGCTTTATAATTTTAAAATATAAAAAAAATTACACCTACTGCACAGGAAAAGGCATTAGGAGGTGCTAAGAAATGGGATGTTTAAATGAGATCACTTGAATTTACACTTCCTACCAATTGAGCTGCCATACCAGGTCACACCAAGTGACCATTCAGCCCTCACCTCCAAGAGTGACCAGCAACATAAATGTGGAGAAGAATGGAAGAACAGGATGAGCCACAGAGCAGGAGGTTGCCCCAGACACCTGGAGACTGATCACTACTGAAATCCTGGATTTTTCTCACCTTTCTCTTCTCAGACATTAATCAGGTTGAGTATAAAACTGACACTTAAAACCAAAGGGAAAAAATTACACACATAACACTGATGTGTTTAAATAGCAGGCTTCCAGGATTTCCATTCAAACCAAAGTAGGTCGTCATTAGTGTCAAAAACACTTTGTAAATTAATTGCCATTAGCTAGATTTACATTAAATACTCGAGAGTTTAATTGAAAAAGGGTAATTTGTACATTACTGCAATCTCCCAAATAGTGGGAAACTTAACAACAACAAAGGCAGTTCACTGTACACAGCAAGACTTCCTTCATTTATGTTTATAGAAGTGCTTTAGTTTTACAACAACCTTCACAATAGTCTAGCAAATATCCTAGTGAGATTTGTAAAAAAAAAAAGGAAGCTTCTAAAGTTTACAGTTTCTCTACAGAAGTTCAGTCTGAAGTTCCTTCTAATTGCCTATCTTTGGGAAAAAGTTCACGGGAGCACAGAATTTCAGATTAATGAGGATTAACAATAATGTACCATACCAAACAAAAAGCAAATCTAATTACTGACTTCATCTAACACCAAATTAACAGCTGACTACAATTCCCACTATTTGCTTTATAGGTCCTGAGCACTCAGTCTGTGTGGGATATTTGCCTCCATCCTCCCACTCCCTCTGCCACATTTTGTCTGTTGAAAACTGCAAGGCTAAGGGAAAAAAGCAGCACTGTGAGAAAACTATATATAAATGTTTAATCATTACTGATGAATCTGCTGTTCAGCTTTTTGAAACATAATGATGAGAGAATGATGATTATTTTATCCTAACAAATTTCAAGCCAACCAATCATCTGAATTGCTCATTCACCTCTTTTGACAGATAAGTGATGAGTCCTACGTCAGAAGTGAAATCTCTCTCTTAAGCTTCTTCAAATCAACAGGAAGACTGCAAATTCAACCTTTGCTCTTTCCTAATGCATTGCTGTCCTCAGCATTATCTCTTTAGCTATTACGAGTATGAAATAGTTATACACCATTTCTTAGCATGAGACCAGGCTTTTATCTCTTCCATTAAGGATGCTACTGAACAACAGCACGCTCTGTGCTCCAGAACATCCACAGCTTCACCACTACTTCAAGGAAAAAATATATTATAATACATTACAGAATTATACAAGGCTTCTTATTATAGTCCCTATTTTCTCAGTAAATTAAGACTTAAAAAAAAAATCCCCCATGGATTACTGTGGTTCAGAAGCTTTACATGAAATCACACACAAGCTGTTGTGTTCACCCAGAGTAAAACCAGACACGGACTGGCTCTCACTACATTGCTGGCTTGGAATATTCTCTCTTTCTAGAAATTCTCCTCTCACAGAATTCCTGTCTTCTCACAGAAATAAAACATGCCACACCTGTCACAGAAAAAGTAGAATAAGCTGCCCTTTAGGGTGATTCTGTCCTGCAGCCTCCAGAAAAAGCTTTTTTGGAAACAGACATTGTGCAGCCTTTTATCTGTATAAAATGAGTGTCATTTTCCAGCCCAAATTCAGGCTTTGCTCCAGGCACTTCAGCTGTTGAAAATTCCTTCAATAGTAACAAGCTTCAAGCAGCTACCTGGAATGGCTAAGCACTTGTTCCTGGCTTTTTCCCCTTTTCTACTGGTTGTGGGGACAAAAATAAAATTAAAAGTTGATTTTTAAAAAAATCTAGTCAGCCATTCGTGGAGAACAATTTTCCTGCCTAACCACAAAAGTTTAAGTCTTCTGTCTTCCTTTTTAGTATGTATAACTACAAATGCTAACACAAGTCATAAAATTAATCAACCTTTTTTATGACTTGTTGTATTGTACTCCAATTCCACAATAACGTTCCAAAAGCAATAAACAAGGGATACAGCACATGATACTACATTGGTTGCTTTTAAAATTTGTTCATACTGTTATCATCACTGTATGCAGCACAGGATACAGTGGCTAAATTAATTTGCCTCCACCTTTCCAAGATCACAGTTTCAAATCAATTCATTTAAATGGGCATTATAATGAAATAAACCTTTTTTTTTTTTTTTTTTTTTTTTCTGGTGAAAGATGGACAGGTAAAAAACAAAACTGAAGACTGTTTACTGAAGAATTACTGTTTAAACATGCACCTCATCTAGAATGTTCTCTGGAAGATGTCCTTTTGGTGAAATACTGTGCTGGAAGATTGTAGTCTTACTTTTTTTTCCCCTTCCCCTATCACCAATAAGTTTTTTCAAGCACTAATCTGTTTGAATTTGCTAATGGCATTATTTCTAGGGAGATACTATGAATGCATTCATCTGGCTCTACTCAAGGTATTTTGTTCTTCTCATGATGCCTGTTTTCCTGGTGAAAATTGAGAGAAAAAGCTGCCTGGGGGTTCAGGTAACAATACACTATTTATTCTACAGCATACACAAATTAAGGAACACAGAGATATATTTAGAATTTAAGTGCTATTATTCCAGAAACAGAAAAAAAAACCACACCAAATAATATAGTAACTGATGCCTTAATGTTAAAACAACATTACTAAGAGTAAAAGGCATATACAAATTAAAGAACACAGAGACGTATTTAAAATTTAAGTGTCATTATTCCAGAAACAGAAAAATATACACAGAATAATGTAGTTACTGATGCCTTAATGTTAAAATAACATTACTAAGAGTACAACAAGGCCTAACAAAACATACTGCAGCACAAACAATCCTCCCTAGTGTTGGCATCTACACAGAGGAGGCTCTAAGTCCATATTAAAAATAAGTGATCAATGCCTTCTACTATTTTTTAAGCAACAACTTCCATTTATCAGATTTTAGGAGCATAATTTTTAGACTATTCATAGCCTCTTCTAGAAAGCATCTAAGCAAAACACACCCATAATCAGCTAAACCTCTTAGTTGCATAGTTGTAGAAAGTGGATTTGGAGTCTGAGAGGAACATCCCATAGTGTGTTTGAAAAGCATTACCTGCAGCTGGCAGCTGGAGGGGTGTACACCTCTCTTTTTGGGCAGTGTCCTCAGGGAGGGAAACAAGTTTTCTGGCAAGCAGTGCAGAAATTGGTTGTACCAACAGCGTTGTGAGGTTCAGTCGATTCTGCCTGTAGCTTCCATCTTAAATGACACAAAGGGAAGACCAATTTAGTAAATGATAATTAGATTTCTCTCCTTCATAAACCGAACACAAAAATGCAAATTTCTACCACACAACTTAAACCAACTGATTTAGATAAGCAGCTGTTGTTTTGTGCTTATAATACTGAAAAAAATAGCTTCTTCAAGATCATATACTACAAAATTGTATGTACATATTATGGTATCTGGGCAATAGTTCCACAAAAAACTGTTAAATTAGTCTGAGCAGATATTAGACTGTGAATTAAACACAACAAATTAAATTGATGTGTAGCTAAAGAAATCAATGAAAAATGGAAATACTGATCAGCAATAAGTTTGAAATTCAAGTAAGAACTGAACAGCTGAAGGAGGTCTGGAATAAGAAGAGAATAAACAAACCCAGTGAGTGGAGAAAGGTATGATCAGAAAGCACCAGAACACTTCATTTACATCTGAAACACCTTAAGCAGATATAGCACAAACCTCTCAATATCAGCAGTTTCATGCAAATATTTAAATCTCCCTTTGAAAAAAGAGTGAGTTTGCATAGACATGCCTAACACTTGATCACGGAAAGGTTTCTGATGAGATAATGAGATATTTTGGGAGACCAACTGACAGAACTGTGGGGAAGAAGAAAAACCTAACCTGGCACACAGAAATGCTCTGAAGCACTTTAGGAATAATCAGGTATTTTCCTCAGCTATTTCAGCTGGTCTAATATGGGGACCATCTCTTCCCATGGAAAGCAGGAACACTTCTGGCAGATGGAAAGCCCAGCTCAGGAAAGGAGGGGAGGTTGATACAACCTGGGGCAGGACACAACCTGCAAAACAAACACTGCATTTCCTGTCAACATTGAGTTCTTTACTACCCAAAAGCATCCTTTAAATTCTGTGGGACTGCAGGCACTATCAGCAATCAGCAGCACGTTTCAAATAAATTTTGATTAAACTACTATCAGTTGTTATTGAACCACAGTATAAAGAAAAAAAGAAATCTAGACACATTATCTTTATTTTTTTTGTTGTTGTTCTAGAAACTTCTGAAATTTTTTATAGTACACCTTTAATACTAATGTAAAAATTGGCCAAAACTGTATTATTTAATTATGGAAAAACAAAAGGTGTTGTTCACCTTTAATACTCAGTGGCAAGGTGATCAGTGTTCAGTTTGAAAGATTCAGACAAATTTTTAGGTGGAAAGGAAAAGCTGGTTCAAAATATAATTAAAAAAAAAAAAAAAAGCTTTGTCTCATCAAAGTTGGTCTGGGTTCAAAATCTCTTGAAGTTGTCACTTCAACAAAGTGATGGCAAAATCAGTTTGGTCAAGTTTTGAGAGTCTGTTTCTGCACTCAAAAAGAATCCTAAAAAGTCCATCAGAGATGTGCAATTGAGACATTATTTTCTTTCCGGTGTTTGTCAATCTGCAGATGTTATTACAGGGGAATGAAGCTCAAATCATTTCAGATGAGAAAAATCTCTCTCCAGTTACTCACAACTTGAGCTTCATACTTGAATAACCTGTGAAAGATACACTTTCAAGAGCAACTTACAGGAGAAACCCCTCCATATTTAAAAATTAATCATTTCACAATAGAAGATAGAATTTGAAGGATGTGAGAAAAAGGAAAAAGAATCTATAGAAAGGCAGATTTAAGTTATGTGGGCAGATGTATCTAGAAGAAAAACTTTCTAATAGGAGGAATACATAAAGACTTGCCTAGGCAGGTGATAAAATCTCTTAAACTGAAATATTTTTAGAGAAAAGTGTGAGCAAACATCTGTCAGGAATGACGCAGATATGGCTGATGCCCTCCCTGAGGGAAGGTGCATTCGATGACCTCCTGACATCTTTTCCAGACGTAAATTCCATAAAATTCTCCAGTAACTAAACTTGACAAACTAATAACAGAGAAAAAAACACTATTGTAATTCATATTTAAAATTGTTTGAAAAAGAAAAAATCAAAAAGTTCCTTCCACTCTGTCAGGCATTTATGAATTGAAGAAGGCTGAGGAAAGCAATGTGCATCATGACCAGACTTCAGAAGTGACCATCCAAGACCAATCTCTCCAATGCACATTTAAAAACCTGGAGATTTTCAGGGCTGCTACTTAAAGCTTAATCACTCAGGTTTTAAATACTCATGGGCTTGGTGCTGTAGTGACAGTGAAACAGTGCAGTGTAACTTCAGAAAGAAACAAAACACATTGAAAGAACTTGGGGATTATTGCTGGCACTTTCTCTGCTGGATGCCAAGCCCTTCAGCATTTGTGGGAACAACAAATGCTTCAAGGATAATTTAAATTTGACATTTTGCTGGTAATGAAATTTACTTTCATAGCATGAAACTCTTCCAAGAAGCAGAATTTCTTCCTCTCTGCAAGTCTAACAAAGTAACTGTGCCAGACCCAGAACTACTATTAATTTCAGAAAGTCCCTGGAGAACTTACTGGAAAGTGAGGAGGAAAATACACTAATCAATTATTAAGTTAATTTTAGGAGCACAAAAATGAGGCAATCTTTAGAAAGTTTCTGCACAGAAAGCAAGGCTTGAATTTCTACTTCTGCTGTGTCTGTGGTTCATGTTTTCTTTTTAAATGCAAGCATAAACCTTGAGCACCAGCTTCCACACTGCTCAGCCTGGGACACACTCCCCCAAACCAGCATTTCACAGTGCTCCATCCCTGAACTTACTGGTACTGACAACATGCTCTGGCATTTCTGAATTTAATAGTAATACTTGTGCACCATACCCCACTCAGTTCTGAACAAAAGTACAATTTTATCATAATTTCAGTGACTTTTTTTGGAAGACTGAAAAATCAAAGAGTTAGTCACAATGTCATACCTCTCTAGCCCAAAGTTATTGTTCACCCACAGCTTCCTCAGTATTATGTGAATAGTCTTTTATTTGCATTTCTCTAAGAAGTTTTGTGCTATATGAATCAACTTTCTGTTCATTTTTGTTTAAATTCCAGATTCAAAGGAAGATTGGCTAGAACACTGTACTTCATCAATATGTGTTTATTCAAGGCACCTTCTGCCAGGATCAGATAAAGCAAAAAGTTATCTACAACTGTCTAAAAAGCTTACTGCCAGAATTCATCAAAGTAATTCCTTCTTTGACCTAAAACAGTGTTTTAATGATGTTCCCCCAAAAATACAGACAGAAAAAAGTAGTCTGACTGAACACCAAGCAATAATTGTACATAGCCACGTCTTTGACTTTCTGCTGCATTAATAATACAGCAGTATTAGTTTTGAAATATCTGAAGTGAATGGCTCATTAATTTTTCACCTTAAGCTTAATAGAAATTTGACAAACAGTTTTATGCTGAAAATAGACACTCCAAGCAGGACTTCACAGCACCTGATGGGAATAAATTAGAGCATAAAGGAAAGAATAGCATTCATTTGGTCAAATAAGATGGTTTTGGCACTCAGTTCCTGAAGTGAATAGTTAGTGTAATGCATTCCTGTGAAAGAGGCATTTTTACATTTATTCATTCCCAGTGCACATTCTACACTGTCCTTTGTCAGCACTTGATCTTGAATTAAGCATGACAAACCCAAAGATGTGTAAACTGACCTGTTGTAGACATTTATGTTATTTGTGCTTTTAACTTGCACCCAGCTTCCCCCCTGCCTCCTTTGCTGGTAATGCTCAACAGTTGTTAGCTCCCACTGGTTATCCTGGTTTTATCTAACCAAAGACAGAAGCTGCAAGGAGCTTTGCAGCACCTACAACAGGAAGGCTCTGGGTACTGAACTCATACCACCATTGCTCATCACCATAATTTTTCTAAGCAGCAGCTACTTGATTAAATCTTAGCTACAGCAGCTTACAATGCTGTCCCCATGTCCATTTTTAAGACAGACTCTTCAAAAAAGCAGCCTTCAATTAAGCCTACACATCCCATTTAACCTCTGCTAGAAAATGCACCCACCTGCTGCACCTCACAAAGTCACTGACATATTTTTCGCCTTCCTAAATTTTCTCTTTGAATAAAGAAACTCATTCTAGCTGTTATTGCTTGCTGGAAGTGGATACAGTCAGAATATTGACCCAGGAAGACTGGTGCTGTTCTGCAAGCAGTTATGAACAGGGAGTTTTGGGAAAGCACTCCCCAGCTGCTCACCAAAGTCACATAAAGGTTTTTCTGCATATGAAGTCAGACAGAGACCTCTTCCTCTAACAAAAATGGTGCTGAACACTCCAAGGTGTTTAAAATAAAAATAAGAATGGATTTTATTAATGTCAAGGAGAAGACCATAACTTCAGACTTTCAAATATCAGCAAGGAAAAGAAGAAAAATAACTGGCACAGAAAAAAGTTACCCAAGAGGAGAAGAACCTGGAGCAGGTGCTTACAGAGTAGAATTGGTAACCAGCAGTTTCCTGCTATGTCTTTATTCACTTCTCTATGAATTATCCACTAGAATTGCAATATGGAACATATGCCAGTTTTGAAGTGCTTTGCTTCACTAGCCACTGGTAGAAATATGGAGGAAGAGAGAACCATTTGCTTCTCTTTTGTAAAAAGAAAAAAAAAAAAAAAAGAACTTTGAAATTCTGCAACCAGGGATTATAACAACAACCACAAGAAAAGCCTTTCAAAGCAGCTTTACAGGCAATGGAGCAGGAGATGATGAATCACAAGAGCATTGTGTCATTGTGTGGCAGCTTGCATTTCAGGATGCATGGCCACAAATGGACAGGGGATGCTTAGAACTATGTAGTGATTGGAGATACGGGTGAGGAAAACGTCTGTGCCTGTGAAAGGTTTATGGACATTTACAGAAAATACAGAATTGAAAGGCAGTGAGCATCACCTCAAACAGAAACAAGCTAGTGAGAGTGCTAAGAAAGGATTTAATTTTTTTTTTCTATTTTGTCTTAGCTGCTATTCCTAACTATTGCTGATAGTTAAAAAGAATTCTTTAAAAACACCTTTTTTAAAAAAATCACATTCTCATGATGTTGAGTTAACAA